TCTTAATTACTCTTTCACTTTAGCTATATCAAAGGAATCTATTAATCCAGATGATTGACATTTTTTGCCTTAGGACGAGGGATTAAATCACATTACAGTCTTGCTATTTGTGACACTCCAGAAGTTAATAACCAAAATCATATTAATTTATATATGTACTGGTTTGACATATCTATTATTATTTTTATATTTACTTTAGTTTGTGTATTATGTTTTTGTTAGTGTATTTGTTTTTGTTATGTAGTATAGTATATAATTTTTGTAATGTTTAATGATTAAATATTCGTTTGGGCGCCTTTTGTTGTGTAGAATGTAATCTGTGTGTGTTGAAATTAATTTTTATTGGATGCAGGTTCTCAGGATAAAGTTAAGCAATAACAATGACAAATTTCATCGAATTAAACTTTTCTTACCTCGGTTTTGCTTATCTCTCCTCCGGCAGCTATATCTTGCATAAATAACATTTACAGTGTACACTTTATTACAGTGTAGATAGGAATGTTTAGTAATCAATGATACACTGACCCTCAAAAACACTTATTATGAATACTAGCATGAGTTCTTATCTCAGAGAAGCGGTTCAATATTATTCAAATTTACTATCACTATAGATTTGAGTAGGAAGCAATGAATGAAGGCAAATTTTTAACGATTTTAACAATGTGACATTTATTAATTATTCATTTTAAAATCCGAACAATGTTTTAAAGAAACACAGAAACTAGATATGTTATGAACTTTTACATGAATAAATAACTGATAAAATTTTCTTAACTCTGCCTAATTTAATTTTGAAAATATTTGGTTAACCAATTTGTATTGTTTTTAAATGTATTACGAAACAAATTAACTTAAATTAAGAACACATAAACTTAACTAATTCTTATACTATGAAATGTTCTAAAATATGATTTTAATTTCTATTCACTGATATTGTCTATGGTTTGAAATAAGTTTCTGATTTCACAAAATGGTTTTTAATTCGACTTTGTAAACACTCTAATTTATGTTTTGGAGAGTATGCTTAGGCAACTGGACTTACATTTTCCATTATCTCAGCATTGGAATGTCCAATATTCACTCTAACCTCGCTTTTTAGTCGGGGATGGACAGCTGTTCTGTCTCCTGTGGAGGTTTTTTTTTTGTGAGTTGGTTGCGTCCTGATTTTCTACGATGTTATTTGGAGAGCTACAGGATAACATGCACCCCTAACCTGTATCTGGGACCAACTAGTTTCTCTTCCAACTTGTTTACTTCGAAACGGTGCTGTGTTGTTTTCCGTTAGAAGGTAAATTTTCTGATTTGTCCTTTTTTTCTTGGTCACTTGTATCCATGAGATATTGTTTTCTTACTGCGCACTTTCTCTCCAACATATTGCGATGTCATTTTATTTTTAATAAATTACGGCGTAATTTGTATTTTGTAACTGCGTAGTAGTTATTACTTCTTAAAACTAGTTTACAAGAAATTTCTATATGGAATTCTGAATGACAATTTTTATAATAAACTTCTAGCCTATGTGTTTTTCTGATACTATAATATTTGAATTTTGTTTTGTACTAATTTATTTAACGTTTATTTAATTGCAAAATTGTTAAATTGGCCTTTCTTGTGGCATTTTTCTTGTGCTTTCATGCTTCCACTTCGATCCTAACCTTTATCTTTTTGGACATGCTTCTCTATTAAAATGTATTAGTTAAATTTTGAATGATAATATTTTAATTTTGATATGATATAACTATGAATTGGGATTTTATTTTACTTTAAAAGTAATTTATGTCTTCCTTGTAGTCTACGTTATAATTTCATGAATTTTTTCTCTACTATTACTCTGTGTCATGTCTTGAAATACAGTGTGTTCATTTCACTATATGTTAGAAATCTCAGATCCAGACACCAAGTCACTGTAACAGCATTAGATATAAAGGATAAGAGATAAGAGGGTCCGTCTCATTGTTCACATTAGCAAACAAACAAAATTGATACCTTTTGTAACAGCACTTTACTCCACGTGCTGCAAAATAGTAAATTATATATCAATAGGCTAAAATCCATCTTCTAATCTCGAGGAGGAGATTAAGTTTGTTTCCTGAGTGTACGTAAGAGTCTTTTCAACTAATTTCTTCAGATACTCAGAAGTATACAATGTTAACTGAAGCTTTAATATATTTTACGTATTTTAAATTTATCTTGTTGATAATGTAATGAAATGTAGGATCTTCCATTTAAGATAACGAAGTTGACAGCTATAACCGGAAGTGCTATAATGGCATTGTTTTATTTAATCAAGAGAGCACTTCCGAAAACACTAATGACTAAATTTTCAAAATTGAAATTGAAGTAGTCTCTGAAATATTCTAATGGGCCGTCACCGTAAGACATCAGCCTATATACAGGTTCAGAAAGTCCCCATGGTACATCGGCTGTTACGTGAGAGCGATAAAGTAAGTCATAGATATCCGTGCGATAGACAAGGATGGTTACATTGAAGACGTTTCATAATCTGAATAGTCAGTCCCACTTCTAACCCGAAACGGACGGTGAGTATTCAGATTATCTTCTTCTTCACTATAGCCATCCTTGTCTATCGCACGGATTTCTTTACTTTACTTTGTCGCTCTCGTGTAAAGGCAGATGGACCATGTGGATTTTCCAGCCCTGTATGTATAATAGGGAAAAGGCAGTTAAATTGAAGGTCGTTATGAAGCTCATTTAAGCTCGTTGCCTTACAGAATAGTCAGTAATTCATGAAACACCGTATTAATCAGCATCAAAGCTTTTAGGTTCGATCAGTCGTAAATAATTCCATATTCAGAGAATTTTTACCTTTATTTAAACGTCATCAGTCCAATTCATCTACTCAAATATACCTGCGTAGATGTGTATCGTAAATAACTAGGTCATTTATAATATACAGGGTGGTCAAATGAAAACGAAACAGAGCCAATTTCAGGAACTGCGTCAAACTTGTAGAAAAACGCGTAGACCCGTCGATTTTAGATTAAAGGGGAACATTCTTTGCTGATATTTTTGAATCCGCCACTTTCACCACCAAGCAAGGGTAAGCATCACCCCAAAATATTTAAATGGCATTGGCGGTTGAGTAATATTTCTTTTGAAAGCTCTTACAATTCTCTTTACAACAAACTTTATATTTTATAATTCAGCCCAATACTCTGAAAAAAATTTACATTTTAAAATTTAAATTATGTTTAGTTGCTTACTTACTACTACTTAGTTGATTAAATGTTCAAACTGATGACCGTCCGCTTCCATACAAGAATAACGATTTTGTTCGAAACGTTCGCGCACATTCTGAAACATTTCCGGAGTGATTCGACGGCATTCGTCGACGATTCTTTGACGCAAGTCTTCCAGCGACGCTGGCTATGTTTTATAGATTTTACTTTTTAGGTATCCCCACAAAAAGAAATCAAGGGGCGATAAATCCGGTGATTGTGGAGGCCACTCAATGCTGCCTCTTCTCCCAATCCAATTCCGTAGAAAACGATGGTCCAAATACTGACGGACAATTAACGCATAATGCGGAGGAGCACCGTCCTGTTGAAAAATCAAATGATCTTCATCATACTCTGGAACATTTTCAATAATATCAGTCAGGGTCAACAGCGTCTTCCAGTAATTGCAAATACATTTGGCCAATCAAATTACCAGGTAGAAAAAAAGGACCCACCAGCCGGTCACCGAACATTCCAGTCCATACATTTAATTTTTCCGGTTGCTGTGTATGCACCTCGTGAAAATCTCTTGGGTTTGAATCGGACCAATAGCGGCAATTGTGACGATTTATCGTCCTGTTCAAGAAAAAACTGCATACATCAGAAAAACAGATGTTAAAAAGGAACTGTGGATCGTTCCCTGCTCGCTCACTCATTATTCCCTCATGAAGTTCCTGGACTAAATGTATTTTGTATGGATTGAATTTATTCTTCTTCAAAATGGTTTGAATGCTAGTTCGATTGATCCCAGACATAGATGTCAGCTGCCTCGTTCTTAATGTAGGATCAAGATGAACTTGTCCCAAAACTGCAACTTCACTAGCTTCCTTAACTATAGGTTTTTCAATTTCTCGTTTTTTATTGGCTACGTTCCTTGTCTCTTGAATTTTTTTTACTAACTCTAGAACATACTTCCTCCTGACATGTCGATCTTGATGTTGTTCATTAAATAGCTGAGCTGTTCTATTCGCACATTTATTGTTCATAAAGTAAAGAGAAACGATATCTACCCTTTCCGCAATGGAATAAACCATAGTATTTAATTTTTAAAAACACAATTAAATAAACTATAAATCCACTAATTCTACGTTCATTGTGTGTGTATAGAATTCAATTCTGTTTTTTACAATTGTGTTTTTTTACGAAAGTGAAAACAAATCGCCAAAAACCAATGTAACGCAAGAAATACTAAATTTATACTATTGGCGTACTTAAATCGAATGACTAACATTTTTACCGATACTAATTGTTTGTGCATAAGTTTCAACTTTAAAATAAAATTCTTAATAAGTATTGAGCGGAATTATAAAATTTAAAGTCTGTTGTAAAGAGCTGTTGTAAAGAGTCTGTTGTAAGAGCTTTCAAAAGAAATATTACTCAACCCCCAATGCCATTTAAGTATTTTGGGGTGATGCTTACCCTTGCTTAGGGATGAAAGTGGCGGAGTCAAAAATACCAAAAATACCCCCTTTAATCTGAAATCGACGGGTCTGGGCGTTTTTCTACAATCTTGACGCAGTTCCTGAAAATGGCTCTGTTTCGTTTTTATTTGGCCACCCTGTATATTCACAGAAACTCTTTTCCTTAAAGCAACCCACATAACAACACTCTTTATTACTGGAAAATGATTAATTGTATCTCCATTATTTGCTCTCCACTGTTAATTCATATTGATATTTAACTAATTTAATAGTTTTCTATTATATTATTCTAGATTTATTTATTTTGATTCTATTGTTCTAACGATATTTTATATTTCAGGGTTATGAAGTAGTTCTATCAAAAGACAGGAAAAACGAAGCGTTAATCAAGAACAAAAATATCCTGTTAAAAGCTGGATCCATTTCAAACATCAAAATAACTGGTAAATATGATGGCGATAAATTTCCCAACTTAATAGAGTATCGATTGAACGCCAAGACAATCTGCCCCGCGTATAACACGTAAGTTGAAAGATGTTTAATTTGAGCGGTTACGTAACGAATTTTAAGTAACGCATTCTTCTTCTAGAAGAATATTGTGTTCAGTCTGATCTGCTTTAATTGAAAATTGGAAAGGTAACAGGTAATAGCAGACATTAGAAATACCAACGTAACATGATTTTTATTATTACTTTTGTAATTCTCTGATATAAGTAAGCAAAGCAAAAGTTAGATCCTTTTTGTTAAACAAATTTTTTATGATATTTAGCATTTTCGAGATCGCCGCAAACGCCTTCAAAAAACATTAAATAGGACGGGACGATTAAAACCCAGTATTTGCTTTTCCAAATAAGCATTAATTTAAAGGAGAAATTAAAAATACAATAATATACAGAGTGTTCTAATTGAAACAGTCAAGATAGGTAACACCCAGAAGAAATGGAACAGCCTGTCTATGACATAGATTGGTTTACTGCAACTTTTATTTTAAACGTTATTTTGTATTACTGATATTATCGGAACTACAGAAGAAATCATCGTAAGCCCTGTATGTAAATAATACTGCAGTTAGTTTGTCAATAAAATCGGTCAGCTTTTCACTGGAACACACCGTGTATATTTCTTAATAGAAGTCCCGCGCAAAAGCCAATACAGGTGCTTGTGTAAGTGTCCAAATTGATTTAATTTAACCAAACTTAGCTATATACAAAAAGGCTTTAACTTGATGTATCAAATTTGGTGTACAATTTAGATACATTAAGATACATCGACTATGAGTTCAAGGTCATTAAGATATCGGAAGATGGTAATTAGTAGAAATCTACTATTAACTTTGATCAATTTTCCAACGTATGTATTAATAAAAATTCGATTCTAAATTTTTCTTGCTCTTGACAAATTCTGATATACCTTGCCACTTTCAATTTGAAGAAATTATTACTTGGACAAAAAAAATATGACCGTATAGAAAATTAAATTTTAAATTGAGTTTCTTGTTCTTTAAACTCGATCCGGCCAACATGGTTAAAAAAAATCGCAAAGATGAAAAAAACGGTTTTTCTAAAATAACTAAAAAAATATAGCACGGATTGAAAAATTTTAAATAGAAAAGTTGTAGGTTTTAAAGAGATCTATCGACTGATTTTTTGAAAGTATCGATTGCTTTGTTACTTTTCGAGATATATCGAGAAAACCGTTAAAAATCTTCTCTTTTCTCTTCTTCTATAACTCGTTTACGTTTACGTGCCCATATTTGCTATTTACTGCAAGCATAGCCCGCGGCAAGCCAAAAAAGTACATTTTTGAAAAATTTAAAAATATTAATTATTTTTCGAGATATATCGATTTTTTGAAAAAAAGGCGCTCTCGAAAATTGGCTAGATCTTCTCAGCGGATAGCCCTACAGTAACGATTTTCGGTTTATTTTCTTCGTAAAGAGTTATATTATCATGCTGTTAAAAATGTTGACGATTATTATTAATTTTAAGGATCAAAAAATGACTTTGAAAAAGTTGCACTTTTTTGGGTATGTTATTTTCAAATTACTATTTAAATTTTTATTTTATGAACATGACTTTTAAAGAAAGAAAACTAAACATTTACGGGTCTATTTTGCTTCTAAGGCGAAAATGCTATAATATTCGTGTTTAGCTACCCCAGATTAAGTACAAAAAAATAATAAAAATTGAAATAGTCATTTGAAATATTTTTTTTGTCCAGGTAATAATTTCTGTAAGCATTTCTCTATAATGCTTGGACTAATTATTCGAAGTAGGGAATTCTGGGACTGTGAATATAATTCACCAAAAGGTTAATTCGAAGTCTACGAATTTGTCACCGTTTGACAACCATTATTGTTTAGAAAATGACTGCAAAGTTTGTGAAAGAGACTATTGAAGAATTGTGAAAGAGTATTAATACCGTTTCACACAGAGAAACATTTTTCAGTGTTAAAAGGAAAGCTCCAGACAGGAGGAAACAGGTTTTTTAGTATAAGTTGCGGACTATTGAGTATGTACCACATATAAGCACAAGAAGTTTATCTCGGCGAACTATGGTATTGGACTTATTGGCTAAAATAATTTATTGCACCCCTACCATACACGAAAAGTTCAAGAGTTGTTGCCTCAAGATTTAGGTTAGCAAGTTACCTTCTGCCAGTTTATTTTAAATCAAATCATCAATTTTCATAAAAAGAATTATTTTCACAGAAGAGGTTTGTTTAACCTTCAACGAAATGACCAATCTTCACAATAACCACCATTATTCGGATATCAACCTTATGTGTTTCCACAATTATCAGCATTATTCGGATAACCACCATTATACGGATATCAACCCTTATGTAATAACTCTGACATTTTCACCGTGACTTTAAAAATAATGTTTGGGCTGGTATTATTGATAAAAGTGACAAAGTGAATTTTCATTTTCGGCAAAGAATAGATTTATGATAATTTTGAAGAGTTTATCTATCTTATAGCCTCATAATTTCTTTTTGTAATTTAAATTACGTTGTTAGCTTAACAATTTTATTTTCTCACTAAGCCATTTTCGCTGAAATCAATTTTCATGTTATAAGTATGCGCTAATTTTAAACATTGTACTTGTTTGATAAAAACTATTGTTAACTCTGTACCTATTAATTGTCTTTGAGTGATAAATTCATAGCCCACTATTGACTTTTTGGCGATTTTAATTCATAGAGCTAGAATAAAACACTTCGAGTAATTGCTTTCTTTCTTGAAAACCGTAATATTTATCAAAGCTTTACAATTGAATTCTGTAAAAAATCCGAATGGATGTCCACTAATTCCCATCTTCATCTTGCGATACCTCAATAACTTTGTTCTCATGGTAAATTCAAAACTCTTAGTGTATCTAAACTGTATGCGGTTTGGTACCTTAAGTTAAAGCGTTGCAGACATACTATTTTTTTTTTCGAAATTTGGGGTTTCACTTTGGAGGCCTATAACTCCTCTAGGGCGACACTTTGTATAAGTCAGTTAGATTACATCTTTTTGGATGCCTCTATATCCAAATGATCTCTGTCGGTTGTTATGCGGAACTATATTTAAAATAATTAATTTATTGAGTTAATCCTTTATTTGATTTTTAGGTTGCGCACAGACCTCTTCGAGGGTGACGATAATTCAATACAATTCTTATCCTCCATCTTATCAAGAACGAAACCTCCCTCCTATAAGCCTACATTCGAGTGCGGACTCAAACGATCCGACGTATACCCATGGCAGGCAGCCGTTTCGATTACAAAGGATGGTAAAGACCAATACATATGCGAAGCTACCCTGATCTCTACTTCTCATGTAATACTTCCCGCTCACTGCGTTACATTCAGCAGCGACGACGAGAGCGTACCCGAAAACATTCTTTCAGTCACCCTAGCTGGGGCAAAGGACACACTCCGCGTCAAGAATATAATTGTACACCGAGGGTACGATCCTAACATTTTGATAGACGACGTGGCTATCCTGGAACTGGATGCTGTCTTGAAGATCAGTGACAACGTTAGGCCAATTTGTTTAGAAGGCACAGACGGGTCTATAGATTCGTTAGTGTTGGTTGGTAAGGCCGTTGAGGCCGATCAAAAAATCGGCAATCAAGCACTGGAAACTATTGTTGATGACGTAGATACAGGCGATTGTGCATTGAAAAATCCAGAATTAGCTGCGTTGTTAGGAGATAACTCTGTGTGTGTTTCATATCCATCTGGTAAGTTCAAACAGTTCATTGCTACTGATTTAGTACCAGTATTTTTTATGATAGTACTGATATTATTAATCATATTTATATATGCTAATTCTCCCCATCTTTTTCCTATATTATTTTGTTGATCTTGTGTCACTTTCATATCACTTCAGTGTAATTACTCGTCTTCACTAAAGAAGAGATCTTCATATCATGCATCATTTAATTTTTGTTTTGTTATGTCATCATTATCCTCCTTTATTATTAATAATTTTGTTCTGTTGAGTTATTATATTATTAAAAAAATTAATACTAATGAAACTTTTTAACAGTGATACTGCGCCAAGCAAGATTAACAATTTTTTGTAAAAACATGAAACACAGTATTTTAATAATTACTTAAGAACCAATATAGACCACATTATAGTTTCTTCATAATAATGTCTATATAACACTTTTCTATAATCACAAACTTCTAATTGTTGAGAAGTTAGAACAAACTTATTGGCTTTTATCTTGAGTCAGTTACTGACGCGTTTCTAGCAGCCTGTTATTACATTGGTGGCTAGAGTGGAAGCGGAACCTTGAACAAACTTAATGGCTTTTATCTGTAGTCAATTGTTGAAGAGTTTCTAACATTACTGTTATTACATTGGTGGCTAGGATAGAAGCTGAAGCTAGTTAAATCTAAACGTGAAAATAAACACAACGTAACCGTAATATACACAAGTTAAGTTAATGAAACAAGTAAAAAATAACTATTTAAAAAAACTGCGTATTGGGCAAATTTATATAGTGATCAATTCTAGATTTCAAGGAGTTGATGGAAGGTTATAATATCATATCGTTCGGTAATGAGATGTTAAACAGGATTTGGCAGGAGAGTTTAATAGCACGTCTTTGGATACTTTCTAGTGTCTTGCTTTAAAACAGGAGATCTTATAGTTACAAAAAACTCAAGATGCGAGATGTACCTACTGAAAATTTTTAAAAAAGTAACAGTATTAGATGAAATATTGGAATAATGTAAATGATTATCTATGGCTCTATAATGGTAATGCTAAGGGAGTTATACTATTATCCTGTTTTTGGATATATGCCTCACACATTTAGAATGGTTCAAGAGGCATCAATGATTGATAGGATCAAGTTCATTTTGTACAGTCAAACAAGGTGATCAGAAGAGCTTTATGTCGTCTACATGGGAAAGTGGATGCACAGTTTCTTACATCAGACACATAAACTAGAAATGAAGTAGGATTCAGCATTGAACCCTGGGGCAACCATAGACCTTATAAACTACTGGACTCGCCCAACTGTCATTTTGCCTATATAAACGGCAATCGCTCAAACGTGTGCGAGAGAGATGGAGCTAGTAAGGGCTTAAGCTTCGTTCACAGAATTTCGACTGCAGTGCGCTACATTTAATTCAACCAATCAGCTAGCTATACTCGATTCCTTACCCCTTTTTCTGTTGGGCCGTATTCAAAGACCTTATAAAAATAATATAGAGACCAAAAGACAAAAAAAAAATCATTTTTTCCAATAGTGTAGGTATGTTAAAGGGTTTATTNATTGGGGATCCTTTCTGCCATTACGAAGATGTAGCTTGTTCTAGAAAATGATCTATTGACATTTCTCTTAATATTTCCTGAATCAGTTGAACCAATTTTGCTAAACAATTTTGACTGTTGGTGACGTATATAGTTACTTGGTAATGAAAATGTTGATTTCCTTATTTCCTTGTCTCTTTAACATTACATAATAAACAATAGGGAAAATAATGTAACCAAATTTATAGATTATACAGAGCCTTCATAAATGTAGTCACGTGACCGCCAAGCATAGGCAACCAATATTACAGGACTGGTACTAGTAACTAAAATTCCCTAAATTTTGGAGTCGCCAATATTAATAATTCGTTTACATTGAACAATGACCGCTGATTGGTTGAATAGAATCTCGTGAAAAATTACATTCATCACAACCGGTGAAAAACAGAATGTTTTTTTAAATGTATTCTGGATCTTATTGCTTTAAATTTAACTGCCAACACGAAGAAAACAAAATTACTGGTCACGAACACATGCTTATGAAACATGTAATATACAGGGTGTTAATGATTAGTTTTGCCAAACTCTAATGGCGTATTCTACCGATAAAAATAATCAACTTTTGTCCTATAAAAATTTTTGATAGGACGCTTCCCTACGGAGATACAGGGTGTTAAAAGTTTCAAATATTTATATGATTTTTCCTTTTTGCAACACACAAAACAATGGCATTGTATAGTATTTTGAAATATCTCAAAAATATTAATTATTGGATTTATTGTTACACATTTAACAATCAACACAAAATAGTAAATAGCAACGTAGGTACTTAGGTATGTTCTTATTTGATTTCAAGACCAGTAAATTTTACGAATACTTTACAAGAATACTTTATTGCCACAATTTGATTGTACATTTTAAAAGCATTTAAAATTATTGATGAAACCAGTGGCGTACGATTTTTTTTCAACTACTACTTCCCTAATAACTACACCAATGGAGAGTATTTTGGAATAAGTTATCCATTAAAAAATAGTCACTACTAAAAAAATTTCATCCCCCAAATTTTATAAATCTTTTATGCCAGTGAAGTTACAGGAAAAATAATATAAATATTTGAAACCTTAACACCCCGTATCTCAGTAGGGAAGCGTCGTGCCAAAAATTTTTATAGGCCAAAACTTGATTATTTTCATCGGTAGAATACGCCAATAAAACTTATCATTAACACCCTGTATAAGAAATATAATTAAATTAATCTATATCTAAAATAGTAATATCTTCTATTTTTGTATTTATTTGTTGAACAGTACAGCCCCCTTAATATTGTCCTTTTTTTAAATTTTACTCGAAAATCATACATTTTTTGGCTTTTTTTCAGTTACCATGACCTTCATACGACAAACCCATAACTTACGTTTTTCAAGAGATATAAAATAATCGACATTTCTCGTATCAAAGTAGCTACTGAAAATGGGTTGCTGGTTGAATTAAGGAACATTCTATATAAAACTGGCTGAGTTTAATTATGTCATAATTGGTTTTGATTACCTTTTTAAATTAGCAGAATATCATCAAGTTCTGCAACAATTTAAATTGAGAGAGTAATAATACAGCATAAAGTATAACTACATATTTGTATAGGTACATATTTATATGTATATTCTTCGAGTACTTATTTATTTTTATTACACAATTCTATTTTTTTTTCAGGGAAATCTGCGTGTACCGGAAGTTCAGGAAGCAGTATAATTTCACGAGTAAACAACGTTGCTACGCTGAGAGGCATTGTGATCGTAGGACCTCTTCTTCAGGATAAAAATCAGTGCAATGCAGATACCACAACAGTAGGAATTAATATCGCTAGATATTACAAATGGATTTTACGTTCTATTTCCTAAGTATTTTTTGCTACATCATGTTTGCAAAATCTGCTGAAAATATGCAATTATTAAATTGTTTATATCTTAAGATAAAATAAAACAAATGATTTTTGAAAAACATTTGTCCCTTTACACATTGTCTCCCAATTTTATTTTGTTAAACTGTTTAAAGCTTCCTACGATATACGTCTAGAAATGTTTTATAAAGTAGATAAAAGAATGTCTTAGAAATGAAAAAAGATCAAATTTAGTTTTGGCTTTATACAGAGTCTTCCAAAGCAGATGCTGTTGAGCAGTTTTTCTCTTAAATAGTGAAAGTGAGTACAGTAAGCTCTAAAATTGGGGTAAAAACAAAAAATAACGCATGGTAAGGTAAATATTACCAAGTAATTCATGCTGAAGAAAAAAAAACAAGTTTAAAATGGAATAAATTCTAAAACAGAAAGGGTACTGCTCAAACTGTATTTCCATCTTTTCCAATGTCTTGAAATATTTTTCTTACATTCAGAAACTATCTAAAAGACAATATTATGCATAGATGACATGTTAATTATGCTTAATTTACTGGAAGCACCCTTGGAAAGGTCTAGAAATGGGCGAGGGCTATTATGACAAGGATCGTTCTTAGGATGGAGAATTCGGGGTGTATGCAAATAGCCCCTAACTAAAACTATAGTTCTGCAAAGTCATGTACAAACAACGGCGTCGTGGCAATATCCCTCATGCTATTACGTGCATAGTTTCAGAAATATTCAGATTATGTTTTCGGGTTCAAACTTCACATAACTAATGTTCCTAAGAAATTTAGCTATTTCCGGTAGTCGAATTAATTATGAACTTTCAGTTAATATCAATAAAATAGTAATTCAATTTAATTTATATTAACAACTACAACTTATAATGAAAAACTGGACAAGCAGCAAAGTAAGGTTCAGCACACCAACGGAAGGGTTTGTGGTTCTATAATACATACAGGATGTTTTTAAATGAAGTAGCAAAAATGGTACCAGTGAATGTAGAGCCAAAAATAAGAGGATTGACGTAAAAATACCTTATATGAAAATTGCACCCCTGAGGCGATATACCCTCTTAAAGGAGGAGATTGAAATTCACATTTTAATTTTTTCCTTTAACATGAGGAATGCTATAGACACGAAACTTGGTAAGAGCATTCTACTAATAAAGAGACAATTTTTCAATATTTGTTTGATCATTGGCGTATTTTATAAAGGAGTGAAACAGTCAACCCCATTGCAATATTTCATTAGAAGCAAATTATTTATTTGCAAATAATTATTAGAAAGACTGATTTATTGCGCAACTTTTTTACCTCTTGTAATTTTTCGATGAAACCGAAGTTTTCTAGTATAAAAATTACATGCGTCATCGTTCACTAAAGGGGTAATTGCGAAAATTTGTAAAAATAAAGTAGGCAGATGTCATAACAAATAAATTGTTATTTATCAATTAATAAATTGACACTTTCTATCAACCAATAATTAGTACCAATTGATTAATTTATTATCAGAATAATTATGGCAAATAATATTTATACCAATGACGAATATGTCGACATGCTCCAAGTGTTTTTCGAATCCAGAAAAAATAGTAACGCTGCAGTAAGATTATACCACCAAAGATATCCAAACCGATAAATTCCTAGGTGGAAAGAAGGCTTCGCGAAACTGGTAAAATTCAACCCAATCGTGAAGGTGCCGGAAGAAGGCGTAATGTCCGAACTGTTGAAACTGAGGAAGCTATCCTGGAACATCTAGAACAAGACAGGTGTCCAGGCAACTGCAAGTTTCTCACAGTCTAGTGTGGGATGTAGCTCATAAAAATTTTTTATAGCCTTTTCACTATCAACTCGTGCAAGAATTGAATGACCCTGATTCACCTAACCGCGTGGATTTTTGTCAATGGTACATTAATATTTTCAGGCATGACTTAAATTTCCTAATGAATATACTTTTCACCAATGAAGCAAATTTTCCTAGAGTAGGTGCAGTAAACCTTCATAATGTTCATTCATGGTCGGAAGAAAATACTCATGAAATATTTGTTTCAAGATGTCAACATAATTTCAGTTTAAACGTTTGGATGGGAATTGTAGGAAATACTCTAATAGGTCCTTTTATTCTTCCACAAAGACTTGGAGCAGCCCAGTATCTTAGATTTTTGAACGAAAATCTTCCAACATTACTCGATTACCCCTCGCTACACGTCAGGTGATGTGGTATATGCACGATGGGGCGCCTGTAGATAGTACATTTGGCGTTAGAGAATGGTTCAATTTAATTTATCCGATTCGCTGGATTGGTCGTGATGCCCCTGTTTGTTGGCTTGCACGTTCATCTGACCTAATGCCTATGGATTTCTTTTTGTGGGGGACACATAAAAAGTATTGTTTATGCCATTCCTGTTCTCTCCTTAGAAGAACTACGCTTAAGAATATTTCAGGCAGCAGATGACCTTCTCAATAACCAAGAACTTCAACTTCATAACTTCAACAGACGTATCAGGTTATGCTTAGAGCAACATGGAAATTATTTCAAGAATATTCTTCAAATATAATTTTGCATTTCTTGTTTTTCGTTTGTATTAAATTTTATTTCAGATAAATAACTTTACCTACGACCACTACTGTAAATACTTAAAAACACACCGTCTGCGATCAATGTAAGATTCCTATTACATACGGTAAAAAAATCGCACAGTTTTCCTAGCAACCGCCTAGCAACGGCCAATACAATACNGGCAAATAATATTTATACCAATGACGAATATGTCGACATGCTCCAAGTGTTTTTCGAATCCAGAAAAAATAGTAACGCTGCAGTAAGATTATACCACCAAAGATATCCAAACCGATAAATTCCTAGGTGGAAAGAAGGCTTCGCGAAACTAGTAAAATTCAACCCAATCGTGAAGGTGCCGGAAGAAGGCGTAATGTCCGAACTGTTGAAACTGAGGAAGCTATCCTGGAACATCTAGAACAAAACTGTAGTACAAGCACAAGACAGGTGTCCAGGCAACTGCAAGTTTCTCACAGTCTAGTGTGGGATGTAGCTCATAAAAATTTTTTATAGCCTTTTCACTATCAACTCGTGCAAGAATTGAATGACCCTGATTCACCTAACCGCGTGGATTTTTGTCAATGGTACATTAATATTTTCAGGCATGACTTAAATTTCCTAATGAATATACTTTTCACCAATGAAGCAAATTTTCCTAGAGTAGGTGCAGTAAACCTTCATAATGTTCATTCATGGTCGGAAGAAAATACTCATGAAATATTTGTTTCAAGATGTCAACATAATTTCAGTTTAAACGTTTGGATGGGAATTGTAGGAAATACTCTAATAGGTCCTTTTATTCTTCCACAAATACTTGGAGCGACCCAGTATCTTAGATTTTTGAACGAAAATCTTCCAACATTACTTGTACTCCTCGCTACACGTCAGGTGATGTGGTATATGCGCCTGTAGATAGTACATTTGCCGTTAGAGAATGGTTAAATTTAAATTACCCGATTCGCTGGATTGGTCGTGATGCCCCTGTTTGTTGGCCTGCACGTTCATCTGACCTAATGCCTATGGATTTCTTTTTGTGGGGGACACATAAAAAGTATTGTTTATGCCATTCCTGTTGTCTCCTTAGAAGAACTACGCTTAAGAATATTTCAGGCAGCAGATGACCTTCTCAATAACCAAGAACTGTTTATAACTTCAACAGACGTATTAGGTTATGCTTACAGCAACATGGAAATTATTTCGAGAATATTCTTTAAATATAATTTTGCATTTCTTGTTTTTCGTTTGTATTAAATTTTATTTCAGATAAATAACTTTACCTAATACATGTCCCATAGTCATAAGTTATCAAACATTTTCTGTTAATTAATAGCAAATTATTCTCAATGTTATTAGTAAATTACCAGCTTATTGACATAAAGTGTCAATTTATTAATATAATAAATAACAACTTATTTGTTATGATATCCGCCTACTTTATTTTTACAAATTTTCACAATTACTCCTTTAGTGAACGATGATGCATCTAATTTTTTTACTAGAAAACTATCGGTTTTATCGAAAAATTACAAGAGGTCAAAAAGTTGTGCAATAAATCAGTCTTCCTAATAAATATTTTTAAATAAATAATTTGTAAGTTGTCTCTTTATTAGTAGGATGCTTATACCAAGTTTTGTGTCTCTAGCATTCCTCATGTTAAAGAAAAAAATTAATATGTAAACAATCCCCTCATTTAAGAGGGTATATCGCCTCAGGGGTGCAACTTTCATATAAGGTATTTTTACTTCAATCCTCTTATTTTTGACTCTACATTCACTGGTATTATTTTTGCTACTTCATTTAAAAACACCCTGTATATTTTAATGGAATGTTATACACCCGTGACGTTGCTTTGTGGTACGTATAACTTTCGTACATTTTTGACTTAAAAAGCTACGGCCGATAGGTATTTGTAGTTTTTTAAATTCCTCTCGTTCTTATTGTTCAAACATTTCAAAACTATAAACGAAATGAAAAAAATAAAAAGATACCAAAATAGCGACAGACTATAGATCGCAGGTCTTGAAAATCCTGGAAATAATGATGGGTATATTAAGTTAAATGAAGCGAATTGTAAAAGGTTCAGAAATCTGCTAACTAATTTAACAAATGAGTTGCATTACTGAAAAAAAAAGAATTTAAAGCAAATCATAATATTTGTCCCTAATTCAACGAATTAATTTAAAAATACGTTACAGATTTTATGAAAATGCTAATGTACTAACAGTCCAGTACCATTTTTTAGATGTAGAACACTTATTTGCTTTAGCTAACCATTACGGACGTGATATAGACTCAATGAAAACGAAACAAAATTAATGCGTAAACTTACTGGAAGATATAAGTAACAAATAACACACACAATAACGACTTTAACAGATCTCGTACTTTTTTTATAAGATTTTAGTTTAGTCTTCCATGAAATGAATAAATTGTATAATATAGCAATGACAGTACCATCTTCCAGTGCAAGTTGTGAGAGATCTTTTAATAGTCTAAAGAAAAAACAAGTGAGTCAAGATAGGCAGGCGCACTGATTATTTAGGTATTTTGTGTATT